ATAAAGCTCAAAATTTTTTTTTTATCGGATAAAAAAAAAATATATGTATATATTTGTGATCAGTTTCCCTGGTTCTGATTGGTTGTTTTTTCTTGGTTTGGATGCATGCATGCTAGATCAAGTTGAATCAACTTTTAAGCTGTGTTCGAAAGGAAGTAATGGACATTTCGTCATTACGAACCTTAATTGTTGACAATTATGATTCATACACATTCAACTTGCTTCAACTATGGGGTAGCGAAGAAAGCGTCAAAAACGTGGTTGTGATCAGAAATGACCAATTTTCCTGGTAAGTTTCATTATCAGTTTGTAAAACTTATTATTATAATTCCACTTCTAATAAAGTTATATAAAATATTAATATAGGACAAAATTTAAGAACAATATACTTTCATACTTCGACAATATTATCATATCACCAGGACCAGGTAGTCCGGAGAATGCTTCTGTACGAAACTATCCATCAAAAAAAAAAAAAAATTTTTTTTCTATTTGAAAGAATTTATAATTGATTCCCAAAAATTATCTGAAAATTTTAGGATTTTGGTATATGTGCAAAAATCCTTGAATTAGACGATATTCCAATTTTAGGTGTGTGTTTAGGACATCAAGGTATTGGCGTTACTTTCGGTGCTGAAGTGAGTTATTCTTTGATCACACAACATAAAACATCGATCAGCTTAATTTTATGATATAGAGCTGATTTTACTAAGTTTTTAGATTATAAATGCTAAAAGGATAATGCATGGAAGACCAAGTCCTATTTATCACGACGGAACACATGATAAAACGTCTTTATTCCTAGGCATACCGAGTCCATTTTGTGCTGTCAGATACCATAGTTTGGTGGTCGATAATAAAGGTATATAATAATTTATAATGCGGTTTCCTATTAAATATTCGATTGATAGATTGCTATTCGTAGATCTGCCTCAGCAATTAAAAATTTCAGCTTGGTGTTCCGAAAACGACAATGATTTGCAGGAAAGACCTCTCAACAATAAACCGCCTCTTAAAGAATTGAGTACAATTATGAGCGTGAAGCATTTATCTAAACCAATTTATGGCGTTCAATTTCATCCAGAGGCATGGTTTGTTCAAAATTTTAATGATCGCCAAAGGTTTTAATATTTTTTCTAGTATTAGCTGACGTGATTTATTTTCCTACTAGTCTATTTGTACTGAATATGGAAATCAAGTTCTGAGAAATTTCCAAATTATATCGCACTCGTTTTTAAAAAAGGTAATATATTATATGATATTATTTTAATACTTATTTTTAGTAATTTCTCATATATACAATATTACAGCGTGGAGTTTTGTTTCCAAGACCTACTCTTCCGCCATCTATCACGTCACTTTCAATGGCCCCTATAAGTGTTCATTCACCTAAACCATCAATATCGAATACTGGTCCCAGGCACATTCTCATAATGAAGTAACTTGATAAAGATATTTGGGTCGAATCATCAATCGTTTTTAAGCATATTATTTCTTCTGATAAATCCATTACAGGAAAATGGTGGTTGGATAGCTCAAGGGTAAATTAAAATAAAAACTAATATGTCATTATTTATTTATTTATTTATTTATTATTATTAATCAATCGTTACCATATCAGCAACCAGATCCGCAAAGTCGATTTTCATACATGGGTTCGAAACCGGCCATATCAAATTCATTTTCGACGTCATATTCTATACATAATAAAACATTATCAATTACATACTCAGACGGTACATTGTCATCGAAAAAACTTGCAGATGATCAAACGTTTTGGAATTGGATGTCTGATATAATATCACATTTTAATCAGCGTATTGCTGGGTTACGGATATTGAATAATAACGGTAATCTTGAAAATATTAGACATAGATTGCCTTTTGATTTTCGATTGGGAATGGTGGGTTATTTTGGCTATGAAATGAAACTAGAATCAATGCCTAAATGTACTTTGTCAAAAGAATATCCGGGTCATTCCTTTGCATGTAAAAGTCCAGACGCAGCATTTATTTTCGCAACTCAGGCCATAATATTTGACCATATCGAAAAGCGTATGTGGGTTGCCGGATTAGTACGCCCTGATGACTGCGATGTTCCTGTTTCACTGAATTCTCTAGATGTTGATAGAATTATTGGATTTTCACATTCAGATTTTTTATCTTGGGTTACGTCGTGATAAATAGGACTTGGTCTTCCATGCATTATCCTTTTAGCATTTATAATCTAAAAACT